TGTTTTCCACGATTAACTCTTAATTAGGGTCATGGGGTCTACACAATTTGATATTGAAACAAAAAATATCTAATACAGAGCTTCAAACAAGTTCTTTCTCTATTTAGCTCCTTAATTAGATATTGACTCCATGCAACTATTTCAATAACACTTTTTTAAAGTTTGCTTGTTGACAACACTTTTGCGCATTCTGGGTCGCATGTGAAGTAAATAATTTACTCATAAATTCTATACTAACCTTTGTTGTCATTGACCCCAGCTAAGCCAAAAATTAGTAACTTTAACAAGGATTTAATATATCTATAGTAATTTTAAGAATGACTTTAAAGTATTTTATATAAGTTCTAGTAAAGAATTTTAATTATTTTTTCAATGTTGCTGCCATAACTAGAAACCACCAACGACAAATTGTGTGATTTTCTTGGTACGCCTTATTAAGGGTTAACAAAAGCTATATAAAATTTTTTTTTTCTTTTTTACTTCTTTATTATAATAAAGTTTTAAAGGGTACGGAAATAAAGAAGAAAGATGAAAATTAGTAAAATAACTTGAACTCGTGCATTAGAAAATTAAAAATGAAAAACTTCTTTACAATTTTTTCTTGTAGAATTTAATTACAAGAATTCTTTTTTGTTGCCTGGTCTTTCAAATATTTTAATTCAAAGATTTTCAGAAGAACTTTAATATTCTTAACTTAAGTATCTATTTATCCATTTAGCACAATTTTCTTGGAAATTTTCATTGAATTTTTGTATAATTTTTTTTTTGGTTTCTGCTCTTTTCGCGAAAGTTCTTAAAGAAATTAAATTAAATATTTTTGGTCACTGTACTTACCCAATATTTTTAAGGTAAGACACATATGTATCTACTACTTAAGTTCGAAATGACCCTTTAAATGTGGTGGTCAAGTTCAATGTACAACAAAAGTTAAACGTGTAATTTTAATATATTTATTTTCTATGGAAAAGGGATATCTTTACGGTACTCACAACAACTTCCGTTTAATGTAAAATTCGGTGAAAATTCTAAGCAGATCAAAAAGTTATGAAAAAAATCTGATGTGATCAGCACATAACCGACCGCAAGGTGCTTTGTTTCTCTTTGTTTGGCAAAAATTTTACAAAAGATTATGGAAATATCCTTTAAAAACTTATGTCAATGCTAGCAAAAACGTTAGCAAAGCTTTCAGTTAGCATTCCTAGAAACATTATTCCAAAACCTTATTATTGCAACAAAAAGCATTTTGTTTTATGTGAAAGACTTGTTAAAATTCTGCTTTACAATTCTTTATGCCGAATTCAAAACATAAGGTTTCAAATTTCCTATATTTTGCCATTTTTTACGTAATACAACAACCATTTGTACATAGATAAATTTCTGTATATTTTCCTTGTAGTCTGTTCTCTATATTAAACTCAAATAACTATTAATTTTCTTTTTACAACTCTTTTATTTGCGAAATATTTACGTTTGTTTTTATTCCTTGCTCGCTATTTAGTAAATTTAAGATTTAGAAATCCTTAAACACATACATACAAAAAATACCTTAGAAAAATGTTTAGGCAACGCATATTACACTTAATTGTGCCTGTGTATGTAAGTATGTTCTTTTATCCATAAATAATCATTAAGTTTTTTGTAAATTATAACTGAAGCGTTAATCCTCTTTTCTTGAATCCTGGGTAGCAGAACTATAAAACATAAGAAAACATAAGAAAATAAATAGAATAATAAAACGCAAAACAAAATAATAAAATTTTAGTCTCGAAATTATTATATAAGCAACGTTAAGAGGATAATGTTACTAATATTATTAAAGTTGCAGGAACATATATTAAATAAAGTTGTGGTGCTACTTTTCGCTTCGGCAACTGAAAATTCCACTTTTATACACAATTTTTATGTATACCTACTACACTAATCAAATTACTTTCATTCATATACGAAAATATTTCAAGGATTGCATATATTTAGGATGAACGATTTATGCAGGCTTTGAAATAAAACAAAAATAAATATAAAGAGGGGTTAACATAATGCTCCATTTTAAGGGTTAATTGTGTCAGATAAGAAAAGAAAATTATATATTTTAATGTCATGAAATTTACCGTTACCTTTCTGCATTTATACAAATTAAATTGCAGTTTCACAAATATAAGATGGTAAATATTGAAATTTCACAATGAAAGCTATTAAGATATCAGACTTTCACAACCTGGGGCCTGCAAGAAGAACGAGATCAAAAATTTGGAGAAAACAGATTTCAGATAATAGTAAATTTTAGCTCTAAAGCAATAAGAAAAAAGCTCAACTTTTACATGAAATTTTTCAGTTTTAAAATTAAATTTTCCAAAGTCACTCAGAATTCCTGTATATTATTACTCTTGTATTATTCTCCAGTTATAGCATTGGAATATCATTTAAAAAAAATTGAAAATAGTTCTTATGAGTACTGATTGTAGTTCATCCGCATGTAGGTCATCAAACATTTGTGCCGCACGTTGCGGTCATAAACGTGATGTTGCGGTCCCAGTATTTTTATTTAATCATAGAAAATGAGGAAAAACTGAATTAGTTATAAATGGAACTTTAATAAAATGACTAAAGTAAAAATTGAGGAAAAGAAAATAACATACATACATGCTTCATAAATATTATACAAGACACAACAACAGCACAAAAATTCATATGTTCCTTTTTATCATTTCATAAAGCGTGCGTGTTTATTGCTTACAGTTATTTTCCATTTTCTTCTTGTTTTTTTTTTATTTATTTGTCATACTCAAGTTGAACTTTTCTACTCATCCAATGAAAGTCAAATAGAATTTACAAAAAGAAGAAAATATAGGTAAAAGAAATAAATGAAGAACTGAAAAGGATGTGTAATAAAAAAGATAAGGACATGTGCAAAGTGAAGGTTTCTACTTACATTTGTATTTTATAATTGTACGTTTGATCGTGTGTACATTGGGCTTCTCAAGCTCTTTTAATTTTCTTGTTTGATAGAAATGCTAATACGTATATATTTTTTTTTATAAGATATTCTAATATTTATTTTAAGTACCACTACATATTCTAAACGTTCACATGTATGTACTATAGTACACAGGAATTCTTTGTTTTTGATGACCTTTAAAAAATAAGGTCAATGATTTTGATATTGATATGTCGCGGTCTAATGATTACCTTTGAACTTTCTTTGCCTGACAACAAATATTTATGAGACATATTAGAAATATGAATTAAATAAAAGGATATTTTACATACTTATTTAAGAATCACTTATAAAATGATACAATAAAGGTTCATTGAAATATTGTACTTAATATGCGTTGCAAGTTGCAAGAAAATTTCAATTAATTTAATAAAGTTCGGTCAGACCAATGGTTTATATTGTTGCAATTTTCCCTTCAACAAGTGAAAATATTGCTTTTAAATAAAGTCTGTTTATATCTACCTCACTATTAAAAATATTTTCATTCATATCCGAAACTATTTTTGAGATTGTATATATTTAGGATGAACGATTTATGCAGTCTTTGAAATACAGCAAAAATTAATATAAAGAGGGGTTAACATAATGCTCGACTTTCTACGTTTATACAAATATGAAAAAGCTTATGGTTTCACAAATATAAGGTGGCAAAAATTCAAATTTTATAAGTTTCGAGAAGCGATAACTTAAGAGGGGGTGGAGGTGGAAAAAAATTTCCTTCTAACGAAATGAACTATTTATTAGTGTCTATAAGCTATTAAAATATCAGACTTTTGCAACCGGGCGTCTAAAAAAGAAAGAGATCAAAATTTTGGAAAAACCGGATTTTAAATAAAGGTAAATTTTAACGGCCATTTTGTTTTTTTAAAGTTTGACTCAGTATCTTGCGATAGGAAAAGTGCTTTTCTGCGTTTGCAAAATTTGTACATGGAAATCACTTTTCATAAATTTTGAGTTCACAACTTATTCAAAATTTCTCACATTTGAAAAGAAAAGGTTATTAAAACTATTGTAAAGCTTTATGAATTCTTTTATTTAAGGAAGATTCATTTAGAGCTTGACAAAGGTATATAATTATTTAAAAGCTAAACTATTTAAGGTTTTTAAAAAATTTTTAACAGTACTAAAAATTTATTTGCCTGTCTTCATTTCAAGAAGGTAAACGGAATCAATTAAATTTAAAAGTTAGTGCCAAATATTAAAAATAAAATTTTAAATGAAGAGTACAAAATTTCGTTTAAATACGGAAATTAAAAATTATTTCAATATGAATTAGCAGATTTTAGGTGTACAATTGTGAAAGTAAATGTTAATGAACTATTAAATTTAAAATAAATGTACAGATGAAGGGCTTTAAAGACAATTTAAATTTAAAAAATTCAAAAGAAATATCTTTCACTGAGCTGATATAACAACTGCAGTCTGTTCTCTATCGTATTAGTAAATATGAACTGAACATGTTTATTTACCGACAGCATTGCTTACAATAAGCGAGGTTATGTGGTGACACCAAATTGCGGATGTCGAGTTTTCGATGGAAACGCACTTCTTCATAGCAGGGAAGCGTAAATAAACTATTTTGAGAGAGATGACGGTCTGTCGGTCCATGTTTGCACGGGTGTATCTCAAGTTCGGCTGAACCGATTTTGATGAAATTTTATATGTAAGTTTATTTTGGCTATGGCGCGGATTGATCAACTTTTTTAATATATCAGATCTCGGGCCAATTTTAAATTTTTACATATATTAATCAACCAATTTACATATCAATTTGGTTGTACGTTTTCCTTAGCTGTTTATCCAAATACGATATTGAGTATAAAATTTGTATTTCCGTGTATATTTGAATAAATAAACCTTAATCATTATAATTTTATATTTAATATTATAAATGCATATATAGGCAAACATTCATAAAAGTTATATAACAGTTTTTTTTTTATATTATATTAAGATAAAATAATCCAAAATCATTGAAATAATTTTTTTTTTGTTCTCATTACAGGAACCTATTTTCTTCTGTACGATTTCATTGATTATTTTGATAAAGATGAAGCAACACTTTTAACAAGGGATAAATTCATAGAAATTATGAATACAATCTTTAATAAAGTAACTGAACCGGAAAGAGAAGCAATCATATTTCAGGTATGTGTTCGATAAATTTACATTCTTTTTTAAAATTATTTTTTGTATAATTTAATCTTCAACTCTTATTCATTTATATGTATGTATATGCTTATTCTTTGAATGTATTGATTATAAATGTAAAAACCTGATCTCGATTTTAAATACTTTCGGATGTGAAACTTAATGAAGAATATTTTTCTCGCTTATTCCTATTTTCTTTCATATAAGATCAAAAGAACCTTCGTACCTGAATAAATTTATTCATAAAAAAAAAAAAAACTAAAACCAAAAAAAAAAATTAATTCTCCCTTGAAAATAATTTTCATTTTTTTAAATTTTATAGTATAAAAATGAAAATCTGAAAGGTATAGTATTTAAATGTTTGCGATTTAATGATCCGAAAAAGAAGTGTTATGAATAATAAATACGAAATTTAATTAAATTTACAGATGCAGGAATTAAATATGTATGTACTTGTGTTATCAAAAGTAGAAGAGGAACAAAAAGTTGAAGGTCATTTTAAATAGCATCCTTATAGCATTTTATTTTTTAAAAATTATCAGATAATTTTTACCAAATTTCATTTTTTTAAAATTTCACTAAACTCAAACAGTTTCTCTTCGACAGAAAGTTTAAGCATACTAAATTGATGTTCTTAGTTTGCTATAATGTGATTTTATCATAATTTCTAAAATATTTGTAGGGTGAGCTTCTGGACTTGTAAACAAAAAAAAATTTTCTTCAAAATTACCAACATCTTGTCAGAATTGAATTTTTTTATTAGATAATTTCATCACTTTTACATTTGTTCAAAATACAAATGATAAAGTTAAGAAGTAATTGAGTTATTAAGAGATGATTATGTGAAAGTTCAACGTTTAGCCTATACTTGAATTATATTATGGATTTTTAAAATTGAATTGTGTTGGATTGTAACCCATTAATTTTCCTATTTTAATATAAAGTTTCTTATCCAATAAAGGGAAACTAAATATCTTTTTTTAATATTAAAATAAAATATTTAATTTTAATTACTTTTTATTAAGTTAGCTAAATTTAAAAAAAAATCCATCATCCCTACCAGGTTCTACTAAATTCCAACTTTAATATTCATTTAATTGTTATACTATAATTATTATTATATAAACTATATTCTTTTAAGTTCTTTTCAAAATTAAATTTCACATAATTATGCTAATTAAATCATTTTCGAAATAAAAATTCGAATTTCGTTTATAAAATTGTCAAAAAATTGGAATTTTCCACATAATTTTCATTAGTTTCACTCTGTCCGTCCGTCCGTGGACACTTTTTTTGTTTACAAAACTTCTACACCCTTGAAGATAGAAAGCTGAAATTTAATACGTACATAGATCTTTACTAGAAACTTATTTCCATAGAACAAAATTTTTACCTATCTCCCCTCCTCTAGAAGTTATACCCCCCCAAAACCCTGAAAATTGCCTTTTTTAACTATTTGTTGTAATGAAACCATAAGTATTTTTGAAATTTTGCAAACGTATAAAGGCAGCGGCTTGCTTCTTCTATTGCGGCATGTTACACGTGAACTTTAAAAAAACAAAATGGCCGTTAAAATTTACTGTTACATAAAATCCGTTTTTTTTTTTCAAATTTAATGTTGTTTTTCGTCTAGACCCCAGGTTGTGGGAGCCTGAAATTTTAGTAACTTTCAGACACTAACAAATAGTTTATTTCGTTAAAAGAAAATTTTTTTCCATCTCCACCCCCTCTCAAGTTATCACCTCTTGAAATTTGTAAAATTTGAATTTTTAACACCTTATATTTCCGAAACCGCAAGCTTTTTCAAATTTCTATAAGTTCAAAAAGCTAACGGTAAATTCCATGACATTAAAAATATAATTATTTTTCTTAACTTACACAATTAAACCTTAAAATCGAGCATTATGTTAACCCGACTTTATATTGCTTTATTTGAAATACTGAATAAATCGTTCATCCTAAATATATGCAATCCTAGTAATAGTTTTGTAAATAATTTTAATAGTGTAGGAAGTATACATAGACTGTATTTAAAAGCAGAATTTTCACTTGTTGAAGGGAAAAGTGCTACAACATAAACCATTGGTTTGACCCAATTTTATTTATCTATATATAATACGAGTATACAAATATTTTAAAATTTCTAAGAACATTAAAATATTCTAAGGAAATGTGTACCGTGTAAAAATATTAAAATAAATTTGTAAAAACTGTATAATTCTATACTGATTACAGTTTTGTTAAAATTAATTAAAATGTTAAAAAAAACTTTATTTTTACGAAATAATGGCCTTCATTTTGTTTTAGAAAAATTAATTTTTAAAAAAGAATTATGAACGAACAGACAGTCAAAACAAATTTTCTTTTGTTTGATAACCTAGTTTTATTTTATAATATCTTTGGATATGTTGTGATGACAAAAAAAAATCTCATGTGGCATTGGGTATTTTTTAGTTTTGTGTTACAAAAGATTATGAAAATGGCTTTTGAACACTTCATTTCAATTTTAAGGAAGTTAGCAAGAAATTAATTAACATACCTAGAAAAGTGTATATATATTTGCCTCTGTGTAGGATTTTGTTTTGTGCTAGCCGATTTTCCAATTAATTTCGGTAACATCTACAACTCAGATGTCAAATTTAAAGAAATTCCATGGTAAAAAATATGGTAAAAAATGTAAAATCAAACCCCGCTCTGATTTTTCTAAAAATATATTTCTAAAATTTATGAAAAGTTGATCATTCCGTGCCATATCCAAAATAAAGTTAAATATAAAATTTCATCGAAATCAGTTCAGCCGAACTTAACATTCATGCGTGCACACACAGCCCGACAGATCGAAAGGCCGACATCTCTCTAAAAATAGTTTATTTACGTTTCTCTATACTAAAAAGAAGTATTTTGCTACCAAAAACTCGACATCTGAAATTTGTCGCCATCACATAATCTCCCTTATTGTATGCAATGCGGTCGGCAAATTAATTAATCTAAAAGTAATTTAAAATAATATACTTTTAATATTACTAAACAATTTCATACTTTATATACTACTTACCTATCTAATTGATTTTCAATAATAAAGTTGTAAATTACTTTCTCATTCTTTTCTTTTTTGGACAATTATCTATGGAAGGTAATGCGTGTTAAAGAAATTCATCAATTTTAATGAATAATTCAATCATTTTAATCCCTACAACTTTTATATGAAGTTTTTGTATTTAATTAAAGAATTTAAGTATTGTTACTATAATTTTTTTCCCTTCTTTTATTTAATTTATAGTATACCGGATGGGAAAGTGGTAATGATGGTTTTAATAATCAATATCAAGTTGGACAAGCTGTTGGGGATCATTTCTTTATATGTCCGACAAATGAATATGCAATTGGAATGGCTGAGAGAGGAGCTAATGTTCATTATTATTATTTTACTCATGTAAGTATGTACTCGTAATTGAAAATTGTTTTCTGGTAAAAGTGGTAGATTTTAAAAATTAATTTAATAATTACGTTTTATAATTGTTTTCAATTTCTGTGCTGTCGTTCGACTAACATCAAATAATTTTAATCGTTTTATAAATTCCTTAAATGCATACAAAATGTATTATTAATCCCCACAAAATTTGTTTTGAAATTGTGAAAAAATTTTGTTATTGTTACCTTTACATTTATTATTTTCCTTTGCATTAGAATTTTAATCATTTCAATTCACTAAAACTTGCTGTTGAAAATAAAAACCTTTAAAAATTTAATATTGAAAAAGGATACTCACGTATTTCTCAATTTGTATAGTTTAAATTTATTGAAATGCTTAGAAATATATTGAACAAAAAAATCAATAAAACGTAAATAAGGCAAATGAAGTCATCAGTTAACCTTTAATCTTTTATAAAACAAAAATTTTTATAATGACATCATAATTAAACGCTTACAATTGCTTCACTACTTTTATGTAGTTAAATCGATGACGATCAAATTCTATTCAACTGATTTCTTTTTATTACTATTATTATTCACTTTTATTACAATCTCACGATAAGATTTCTTTATTATACGATATATTTTCAATTGATAGTATTTTTATAATTTGATTTTTTTCTCTCTCGTTCTACACCTTTATTATAAGTTTTTTTTTGTGAAAAAAAAAATACGCCACTGATAATATTTTTTTTAGCTAACAATATCATTTAAATAATTCCCTTAATTATTATTTACTTATCCATTTTATATTTTTTGTTTGAATACACAATTATGTACATTTTTACAGATGTGTGTATATTATAGTAAAATATTAGTACAGGGTGTTGCACGAGGAATATTAAGAAATAGAAAAATTTTTTTATTCAAGTGATTTTGTTAGAAAGTGTGTTACCTAATGAAAAATGTGTACTCGTAGGTCACAAATGTTTAGAATATTATTCTTATATACTTCAATATTTCGTGGCTTTTCGAATTTCAATGACTCTATATTTCTCATATTTCAAAAGGTACCAGTACTCTTACAAGATTTTTCAAGTTAATTGTCAGTGAATCCGAGAATAAAATCTCCAATTTATGAGAAGCCAATACATAGCGCATTATTTTAATTTAATTAAAAACATTTTAGATTTTTCTCTGATTCGGATAAATTTGAAACTAATGCCAATCTATAAGCGGAAATTTTTTTCAATTATTCTTATATAGTCGTATGAATGTAGTACTTTTTCAAAGACTTTGTTGAAAAAATATCAAACTTGACAGATATTATTTGAATTCATAAAAACTATAAACTTTCGTAAAAAAAAGTTTATTTTACTTTAAAACAGTTTAAATTAGGAAAATTAGCATAGCTCCTTCATTTTTTTTCGGCATCGTCTAACTAGAAAAGCTCGATGTATAATTACCTATTGAAATTCTACATCCTGTATATTATGGATATAGTCAATATATATGTAATAATTCATGTTCATATACAGCCATATACAAGTTATAAACTATTTATAATAATTATATTGTAGTATAAAGTAGAATGGAACAATAACATTTTGAATTTCAAAAAATAAAAAAAAAACAAAGAAAGAATCAAAACATCTGATTGTATTTTTTTTTATATACAAATACAAGTGTTTATACTATATCGACAAACTATACCGTTATTTAATTGTTATACATTAGGTTAATACATAAAACAAACTACAATATATACCATAATGTAAACTGTTATATGTTATTCACGTGCCATACTAGCACACAATATAATCAATATCAATTGATTTACATAACATAACATACATATATGTTATATATACATGTAAATAAATATACATATTTTACTTTCACTCCCTTAAGGACATATTGCGTGTTCTTGTCAAATAATTAGTATTTTATAGCCTTTATATAGACCTCTCTTAAATTTTTCTTCGTTTCTCTTGTACAAACTTGAATATTTTAGAGTAATAAAGTAGATGGAGAGGAACATGGAGAGAGAGAAATTAGTGGAATTTATCAAAACCAAAAAAAGAGAGATATAGGTCTGAATAAATATTTTGTTTTTATGAAGCATGCTTATTCGGAAAGTTAGATATTTTAACCATGAAAGTCGATTACACAATTTACATAAAGAAAATCAACAAAAAACTAAGAAATAATCAAAAACGCATCTTTTGTTTTCCATCAAATATTATTAAATTTAATGAAATGTAAATAAGGAGTTAAGCTGTGAGTTAGAAAGTTACACATAATAACGGAATTCATTTATAGTATATACATAATTCCATTTCAAGCTTTGTTATATAATTTATTTTATCACTATAATTTGAAAAAAAAAAAAACAGTAAGTACTTACATTAGCATGAATATTGTTTGAATTTTAATACCCGTACAATTTATTATTGCGTACAACAATTGAATTGCATAAAATTAGGGGCCATAACTCAAAATGTAAAGAAAAACCATACGACTTAAAATAATTAACAATTTTCCCATTAGTAACACAGTTCTAATTAAGAATGATTTGATTTTTTGATTGACTTTCATTAAATTTTTAGCAAGATTTATTTCACTAAACTAAAGTGGAAAATTTCACTAAATTTAATAACACACTTTCTCTATCAAATTTACTACACAACTCTAAGTTCATTACACACTAGTGCGGAGTTAAATTGAAAAATTCGGTCGGTTCGTTCGCCTCTCCATTTCTCATTTCTTTTGCAGCTTGTTTCCATAATAATTGAGAATAGTAAATGTCAACACTCTATTTATAATGGTCCCATAAATGTAATGTGACCATATCAATATGATTTTTGACCGTATATTATTCCTTTAGAAATTATAAAACCACATGGTCGAAATATTATAAAAGCTAGTTTAAGGCCACCATTAAGAATTATTTCATGTAGTTTGAATCCTTACCATTGTAGTATCTAAGAAAATATTGTCACTGACAGTTCTTCTTGGTTATGTCACTCAAATTCGAGCGCTATAAAAATTATTATAAACAAATACTTTAATCACAATATAGTCTAGGTGGTGGGAATTATTAAACATCTCTTAAAATTATTCTTTCGTACGGTTTTCATCACATATTCAGTAAATTCTCGTTTTAATTCATTTTGAAATTTTTATACTGTTCGGGTTTTCTGTAATCACCATACGTAGATGAATATATGTGTATGTTTTACTTAATATATTACATAGAATGCAAAAATAATGTAAAACCTCTAGTAGAAAATATTCATAGATTTGAGAAGAGGAGGAGAGAGAAAGAATGTAAGAGGTTTTTATAGCTTCCGTTGAAATATTTTCGACTCTTTTTTTTCTCTTTTGTTTTTGATAGTTTGTGCGTTTTTATTTATCATTTTCTTTGTTTCTGTTCAAAGTTATTTTATGCCTATTCTACAATCCGATAAGGTTTATCCTTGTAATTTTTATTCTTTATAATTCGGTTATTTTTTTTCTTTGTTTTGTCTCTTTCTTCTTTTTTTGAAGTCTCTTTTTCTTATAAATTAAAATTTTTTGAATATAGGTTTCTATATATATATATATATATATATAAGTATGTATGTGTAAACCCAACCTTGATTACATAAAGGACCTTGACTTTTCGGTCTTAAATTTTGTATTAAAAACGAATATTATTGTTGTAACATTATTTTATTCGCATATATGTTTGTGTATAGGCTGTTAATCTAAGTTCAATTTTTTAACTTAAATTTGTTTGTTTTTCTATTTTCTTCTATTTTTTATTGGTTCTTTGGTTCCTTTCTCTGTCTAAAAAGTAATCAAAAAAAAAATTTTTTTTTTTCGGTTATGGTTTATTTAGTTGTTTCTCTTTTTAATTTTTGCTTAAAAAAATTTTACAAATTTGAATTTACTATGGTTGTGGTTTTACTACACTTTTAGAAAAATTAATTCTAACTCATTTCTGTATTTCTTTTGTTGTTTTCTTTAAATCTTTAATAAAGTTAATTAAGTTTTAAACACTAAAAAATTCTGGCAAAATACATATATAGTTATATATATTATATATTAAATTTTATTTATACATACTTACATAATTGTATTATGCAAATATGTACAAATACTAATTATATATGTATTAATATTTTTGTTATTTTAATTATAACGCATCTTGAGAATAATACCGCGACGTTTCAAAATTGCTAATTTTTAATCAAGGCATAGCACTAGGCGTATATTCCTCTATATTTTGCCCCAAGTCACGTAACGATTTATAAATTTATTACCGCTTTTATTTAAAATTTTCTGAATTTAGTTTTCGGATTTCTTTAGAGTGTGTTTCTTGTTAAATTCAATACCGCGATATCACACAAACTCGAAAAATTTTTTATTTTATTATCGCGATAAATAGTACACGGGTTACACAATTGCAGCAACATTTCGATTTATATCAATTTTATGAAAAGAAATTGAGACTTTAACCGCAATACGTAATGTAAAATTTTGCAATTTTACATTCATTAACATGAAATATTTTTGTTTCTTATTGAATATATCACCGCAATAGCTTTTTTTACTTTACATAAAATCGGTCTTTAATTTCTCATATAAAAATAACGTAACTTTGTACTCGAAACTAAAAATATAGAGATGTTGCGGTACATGCTTAATTAGATAAGTTCATGAACGCAGGTAACAAAATACGTTGAGTTATGAAAATATTAAATTTAAATTATTCCTGTAAAAGTGCTGCACAATACTAAATGGCTTTGGTGCACAATACTAAATTAATGATTAAGCCGTTGCCTGTACTAGTTGCCGTCATCAGATAAAAATTATCGATTTCCTATGCCAAAATTTTCTTATTTTATAGGGCTACTTATATTGTCAAATGAAAATGTTACAGAGTTAAAGTTCCAAAAATAAATCAAAAAGTTATTTAGAAGCAAATATAACTTTAATTTTTGAAATTAAAAACGATAATCGAATAATCGAAAA